GATCAACTGATTCAAACAAGAAGTTCTGAGAAGAACTAATCGCTTACTTTCCTTTGATGCTACACGGACCGCATAGAAGACGACTCATATAACAATTCGTCTATTGTTCTAATAGATTTAATACGCCGCATTGTAATGTATATTCTCACGTCGAGGATATTAGAGAAGTTGCACTGTTGAAACCCTTTCAGAGATTCTAAATGAATACACAGACCCTCCACATGTCTNGTCCACCCAGCCTCCTATCCTGGGAGTATTTCCCCGGGGGTAAAGCGGCCGGGGGGTGAAGCTGAACACTCACCTCCAGCTAGTGCCGAGGTCAAGAAAATGTGGATCTATACATCCACTCGCCCATACCCCTTCATGGCCTAGTGTTTAATTAGTTAAACACAGGGACAGCTCTACCTTACCACCTTACTCATCCGTAATCAGACTGGTCCACAACACGATAAATCACATTAAATAGGCCTTGTCATATCCGCTACCACAACAGTAGTTAGTTTCTAGCTTCAAAACATAAATAACTTCACATTAACTCGCCCTTCCCTGCCGCCAAAATGCGAGAACATATGTTCTTTCGTGGTTCTATTTGACTTCAGCCGAATTTGTCTTAAAAAAAAAAGAAGAGTATTTTGAAACAAGTTTTGGCAACACTTGCCAGTAAATTTTATACGTTAACTTTCAGACGTTCAAGCAGGAAGTGAGAATACGTGACCTCGCCCTGTTCCCATGGACGCCAGTCTGTGAAGGAACCACGTTAAATTGATGTCGACATCGTGCGTTGGCATCTTGAATGGAAAATAAAAAAAATACTAAAAATACATAACTATGTACGATACCATTGTTTCAAAAACTATGACACGAGTAATTCCTCGTAAAAATAAAGAATTGTATTGAAACAGAAGGTTTGTTGAGTTTTTCAAATATAGTACGTTGGTGACATACTGAATATAGTGTTTACGAATGCTGTTTGAATTATGTATGAGTTCAGGTTGGGCTAACGTTCCTGGGTTTCCTAATATATTTTCTTTCTCAAGAGACAACAAGACGAGATAAATGACAGCAACCAAATGACGTATTCGGCGAGACTTGTGGTTCCACCTGCCGGTGGACTGCAGCGCTCTGAGTACGATAAAAAGGCCTGACCCCCCCCCCGTTTCACCTGCTGGATAACCCGCCATTCCGCATGTTCGAAAACTAAATCCCCTTTTGTTGTGCTGGCAGCTTATCATACAGAGATGTCAGTAGGCTTCAAATGCCAATAAATTTAACACGTCGAAGTTAGTAACGTAATGTGTTTTAGGATGTGATACCACGTCCTTTAGAAGATTACAGACGTTTCGGAGGAACATGCTACTACATCTTTAGAGTCTTGGAGTAAATCTTTCACCCTCAAGATGTCTTCTGAGATGTCACGCCGCAAAAGATATTTACAGACGTTTTGGAGTAATGAGTTTTTTTTTTCCATATTCTAGGTCCAAGTCATTTTATCGACCCTAAAGATTGAAGTAGCATGTTATTTATAAACGTCAGCAAACATAAGCTGGAATAGAATGCATTACATCCCGGAGATGGTATTATTCATAATCACAGCCGTGACAAACTCAAATCTCACATATCGGCCTAATAATATTTAGATCTGAAATTATTTTAATATCTCTCACTGTAGGAGCAATTGCACGTTAGAGTAAAAGTTAATTTATAAGCAAGTATTTTAATGAGTTTTCTATTATCGATATAAGAGCCGGATAGATCAGTCAGTATAATGATGGGCTACGGGTTGGACGGCTTGGGTTCGATTCCCGGCAGTGGCAGGTGATTTTTTTTTTGCTCCACCGCGTATAGGCCGGCTCTGTGACCCACCCAGCCTCCTATCCAATGGGTACCTGGGGGTCTTTCTCTGGGACGTGAAACTGATCACTCAGTGCCATCTAGTGCCCAGGTCAATAATGGTAGAGCTATAACTCCACTCTCCCGTAAGTATTCAGGGCGTGGTGCCTATTTAATTAATCACAGGAACAAGTTTCCTTCATCGCTGTTAATATAGGACAGGCTTGTAGAAGCTGCGCGAAGAGCTGCGGCTTGCTTATTCCTTGTCAGTGTGCTGTGGGTATTGGCACTGTAGTCACGACAAACCGCAAAGTTTCTTTTCATCAAAGGAAAATGCGCCGTGATGCTTGTCGCGTTATCCACTTCTAATACGAGAATTAGTCGCGATTTCAAAATCAAAGCATTTTATATATACCTATGATATCCATTCTAAACGTCGTCATACATAACACTTCACTGTATTTCGGGTAACAAGCTATAAATATTTCGTACATGAAAGAATGTTGGATTTCATCTTTTGCAATAAGAAACAAATGGTGGTATTAACGAACATTGATAGATATATGTCGGTGTCAATATTTAACATTTGTTTTAATTCCGTAGTCTTAATGAGGAAGAAGTAATAGAAGGACGGAGAAAATCCTACTAACTAACTAACTAGTGTTGCATCAGCAATGTGTGTATACATATATATATAATTTTGCCTGTGTTTCTGTATGGGTGTGAAACTTGGGCTCTGACATTAAGGGAAGAACATAGAGTAAGGGTGCTTGAGAACAGGGTGTTGAGGAGAATATTTGGACCGAAGAGGGATGAAGTGACAGGAGGTTGGATAAAACTGAATAATGAGGAGCTTCATAATTAGAATGCTCAAGTCAAGGAGGATGAGGTGGGCAGGGCATGTATCACGAATGGGGGAGAAGAGGAATGCATATAAGATATTGGTGGGAAAGCCACAAGGAAAGAGATCACTGGGAAGACCAAGGAGTAGGTGGGTGGGCAATATTAAAATGGATCTTAGAGAGATAGAATGAGATGGTATGGATTGGGTTGATCTGGCTCAGGATAGGGATCAGTGAAGGGCTCTTGTGAACACGGTAATGAACCTTCGGGTTCCATAAAATGCTGGGAAATTCTTGAGTAACTGCAGATTTGGCTTCTCCTCAATAAGGGATCAGCTCCATGAGTGAGTCAGTAATAACCACCCCATCTCATAACACTCTATATCCCATAAGACAGGGCAAATGAAAAAAGAAAAAGTTATACACATATCTGCAAAATCCCTGCTTCTATTTCGATTTACCAATTTCATATTTCCACGATGCAAAAAACCCCTATTACATATATTAACGTCGGGTCTACACGTCTGCCTGGCCATCAATAATGAGTGAAGTGGTCCCTGCAGTAGAGGGAGGTCAAGATGGTCAAGATGCAGGTGCTGCTAACTTATTGTACGGCTACACTCCAGCGAGTCTGCCTGTATGCATGCGGGCTATTTCTTACTCTGCTGTCTATGTGTGTTTATGAAAAAAGCACACTTTTTATATGCATATATGAAAATATTTTTAAAAAATTGGTTCAAAGACATTGCACATAACTTCTTATATACGACTGACCTCGACTACGTTATACTGCAAACGAAACCGAGTTTTGTTCGACACACCATTCTTGTCGCTGACTGTGCAAACGAGGACACATGGGTTTTGCCGAACAATTTGGGCGTGTTGCTATTCTCCTGATACCGCCCACTGACTTTTATTCAGTGAGTCAGTCTCTACAAATATCTGAAATTTAAGTAAATGTGTTTGAGCCGTTTTCGAGAAAATCGTCATTCTGTTTTTCTGGACCCTTCTAAAGGGTCCCTATTTCTATAGATATAATATTCATATTTTAAGGGCACCGGCCATGATACATAAACTCTTAGATACTGAATACAAATCCCCCCACCCAATCGCCCGGGCGTTACAGATAGGGACGTCAGTATATGCTTTAAAACAAACAAGCGGCGTTCCGAAAACAATTTTATATATTGGGGGGGGGGTTGAAAAACTATAAATCTGTGAAAATATCTTTTCACCATCACGGTAAGTTCTTCTATGTACTACGCATATGAGGAAGTGGTACGTATAATTTCTTTACCTTGCAACGTAACGAAGTTACAGGGATGAATCCAGTGTAACAGAATATTACGACATACACAATACACGCTTTCATGATGCTATGTTACTTGCTGCAAGTGTGTTCAAGTACACCGTAATAAGGAGATTCATAACTTGTGCTTGGATGATCAAGTCGAGGAAGTTCATAACGGCAGAGCAAATGACAAGGACATGGTGAGAAATCCTAGCAAGTTCAGAATATCTCAAACAAAACAAAAACAAACTCCGTGGCCTGTAGTCCGCAAGCGAACTACACCGACCGAGCGACCGCCGCTTGTCGGCGAAGTTAATGCCAACTTTAGCGGATAGAGGGTGTCGCGTGGTCAGCGCAACGAATCCCCACGGCCGTTAATTTCGGGTTTCTAGACCGGCGCCGCTATTTCCTTGAAATGGCTCCTCAATTATCCTCACGAGGCTGAGTGGACCCCGATCCAGACCCACTACTTCTCAGAAAATCTGATAGCGCCGGGTATCGAACCAGGGACCTCTGGATCTGTAGCCAGGAACCCTAACCACCGGATCACAGAGGCAGTTTCGGAATATCTTAATAGAAGAAATTACTTCAGTGTTTTAGACGTGGATGGAATAATTATTTTAAACCGGACGGCTAAGAAGTCAAACCTACGGACATATATCAACCGGCTGAGTGACTACCAGCTTCTCGAAAGCAATCGGCTAATTTTAGTGAATGGATTAACTAATTAGAAAGTGTTCAAGTGTACGAGCACGAGAAACAAAATGAATGTCTCGGAAATAGGCACGAAATTTCGAATTCCTACGCTTCTTTTTTCATGAATGCTACCCAGGAGTTACCTCCAGAAGGCCTTATGCTCATTTCGATACAATTACTGTGTCTGAGAAAGGTTTCATGAGATTAATATTTGGACTGCGATGTACTGAAGAGAGGACAGAGAAAATTACATAATGAGGAATTTCATAATTTATATTATTCTTAAGCGTGAGGCTGATCAAATCAAGGACACAGCATAGTTAGAAGAATTCATCACTCACCAGTATCCCAAGCTGTGTGACGTAATTCTGTTCGGATATTCTGCCAGATTCCCAGGCGCCTTGCTTCCGGATCTCAGAGAGGGCTTCACTTTCATTCACTTCCAATCTGCTGACCAACAATAGTGTTCTTGCTTTTTCATAGAGCACTGCATATTCACTTACGGAACACCTGACAAACAAGTACATAAATAATTATATTTATAATATATAAATTTGAATAAATGCATGATTTATATAAAAAAAATAAATGAACATATTTCTTGAAAACTGACTGTATGCTACTGCACAGTTTATCAACTTTTTTTTTAGTTTCAGGGTGGGTGAGACTGGGTGCCATTGTACTCTGCCTCAAATGGACCCATTGTATCAATTCGATACTACTGATGGGTATACAGCATTAGTTCCATGACTGAGGGAATGAATGGCTTTGAAAGCCTATCAGCGTCCATGGCTATTTGCGTTTGATTGGTGCAAAGATATGTGACATTACAGCCTGGCAATTCAATGTATGTACCAAAAACGTATTCCGGGTCATTAGAGGAGCTGTGATAATACTTATACACCTAACTATTCTGTTAACATCACAACTGCAAGGAATAATTAAAAGGCACGAGAAGAGATTATACTTGATTGATTGATTGATTCATTCATTCATTCACCAATGGCTCTAAAGCCCTTTATTGGGCCCTGGCCTCTTCTTCAGTTACGTAATCATTTTTATACAGACGGTAGAAATCCTCGGACGAGTGACCAGCCCGTCGCAAGACCTCTACCTAAACACATGACAACACAAACACAGAAAAAACACACACAAATCCATGCCTTCAGTGGGTTATACTTGAATAAGTAATAATATTTCGAAATTTAGTTTCGTCAAATGGATTTTTTCAATTGACCTAATCCTTCCAGCCGCACTATGGTCCTGGGATAGACTCAGCCTCTAACAGAAATGAGTACCAGGAATCTTCCTGGGGGTAAAGGGCGGCCTGCGCGTAAGGCTGACAGCCTTACCGTCATCTAGAGCCGATTGTCTAGAAAATGTGGGAACCTCGACGTCTCACAATCCTATGGGCCTCCACAGCCTGTTACAGGGATACCTTTACTTTTTACTTTAGTTTTGTCAAATGTGAAATTCCTAACCTTCATTCAAACCGAGTGACGTATAAGGGTACTAGAATTTGAAGTGATTTAAGGAACCGCAATACAATTATACTGCACTGCGTCTGGAACAGTGGGCAAAAGAAAAGGGCCTTAATCGGCTGGCTTAGTTTCAGCTTCTGCTAAAAGGAGCAGAATTTATTTGTCCAAGCGATAGAGTATGTGGTACTTGACGGTGTCAGGTTATAAGCTCGAGAGAGTCAAGAAGAAGAAGGAGGAGGAGGAGGAGATTCTGAAATTCTCTGCATATAAGGACAGGTATTAGATTACGCAAATCACAGAGCAAATATGAAAATGTTATTTACAAACTGTAAAAGAAACTGGAGCCGGTCACGGTAGCCGAGCGGTCTAGGGCATGCACTGTCTTCGCTCGCTCAGAAGCCGGGATCGTGGGTTCGAATCCCACACAGGGCATGGATGTTTGGTGTTTGATGTTTGTGTGTGTGTGCGTTTTTCTGTGTTTGTGTACAGGTAGAGGCCTTGCGAGGAGCTGATCACCCGCCCAAGGAGTCCTACCGAATGGCTTAAAATCTAGTAAACCGAAGTGAAACGGAGAGTTTCTTGGAGGTAGGCCAAGGCCCAAATCGGGGCTGTAGAGCCAAAGTAAAAAAAAAAAAAGAAACAGGTAAAACATCTAGTAACAATCTGATAAAAAAGGGCTAAGACAAATGGTGTCATAAGACAGGGCGATTTTCTACTTGGTTATGTTTGAGGACATATATTCCAGATGATATGCAATGTGTTACTTCGTCCGCTTCCTCACGTCCCACCGCATTCCTTCCGTCGGCCACGTAAATCGAAGTAACTTCGTATGCCGAACGGAATGCAGCGTAGCGACGTGTTTGTGGGAGCATCTTCATGCACGCTGCTGTTTAATTTGTTTCTGTTCTTCTAAATACAAAATCAAGAACCGGTAAACACGGCGCCAGACATCAGTGGTGACTGACGTGGCTGTTTTCTGTGTTGTCCGGAACGAGGCTAAATAAGGAGCAGCGAAGACTATTCACGGACAGTTCTCAAGTTCTCGAGTTTACGAGATAGTTACGAGTTAGCCAGCAGCCAGGCAGTCAACCAGTCAGTTGCAGTCTAGCATTTGTAATACTGCAGATAGCAGTAATTGTGAATCTGTAAATTGTGTGATTGTAAGAGCGAATGTGAAATAAAATTCGCTATACCCAGCACGGCGTGAAATTATTTGTCGCGTTATACACCCAACACGTGACAATATTACACTTTCCCTTCCTCTGGAGTTTTCAGAAAAACTAAGACATTTCGCCAAGTACATATAGAAATATTATGATAATAAAATGTTATTTTGAGTGTGAGAGAAATTCAGCACATCATAGCTGCATCTAGAAATTAAGTAATCTCTAAGGACTGTTTAAGAAAAACTATAACAATTTTCCGTTTGGGGGAAGCCTAATTTATCTACAGTCAACGTGGATTACGGAAACGCAATTTCAACACCCTGGATTTCATAAAAACCATTCCCATCTGAACAATTACAAGAGACACAAATTGATACCTTACTTTTAATGATATGAAAGAACTCTTATATTTATTACTGTTGACAGACATTATAATGACAACAATTACCGAGCGATTAGCTCGTTAAGTCGTCACAGTTTCCACTCCTCCGTGAGTCTCTCCCTAATGACGCCGAGCGGGTAATGTCTGGGACAGTAGCCTACCTTAAAGGATGCCATACGCCCTTTCCTATGCTTCATTCCAAAATCCACAACATATTTCTCTCGTGTCCCCAATTTACGCGACATAATATAGGCACGTAACGCTGATGATCAGAACACGGAGAATCAGACAAGTGGCGGACATACCACGAGAGGGAGAAATACATAAAGATACTTTATCGGAAAATCTGGATGAACAGACCACTCCCAAAACGTAGGTGTAGATGGGAGGGTAATCGATCTTAAAGAAATGAGGTGCGAGTGTGTGGGTTGGATTCATCTGGCTTAGGATAACGATTGGTGACGCATGTGAACAGACAAGGATTCGAAATATTATTTCTGGTGAAACATAGAAGTGCACTATAGCCTGAATAAGAGATGTGAATTCCTAAAATACTGGGGGGGGGGNGAACATTACATGACAGGAAATACAGCCCAGTGTAGATTTTTATAATTAGTTATTCATTTACCACATTAATTCAGGAGATCTCAGTCAGTTGCTTCCTACTGATGGCTGTAGAATGTCTGTACCCGCAGCCTGTATTCAACTGTAGGCGACAAGAAACATTCTGTCTCACTTTTCGCTGTTTGTTACAGATATTCATTCAATGTATTAAAGATTTTTATGTTTTTATTATATATTTGAGAATACTGATTACAGCCTGAAATTATAGAATTCTTGCATAATCAGAAACGAGTCACAAAACGTTTAGTCAAATTTGCTGCGCACTTTTTTTAACCCCAAACCAGCAGTGACGGAAGAAAGAAAATCAGTCCACAGCACGATATCCCATACTCCGCCGTCATGTCAGAGCTAAAGTGAAAATGAAATAGCACTCGACATTATCGCAGAATGTTCATGAACTATACAACCCAGGCACTAAGCGGAAAACTCTTTAAAATGTTTTTTCTTTCTTCTTAATTTGCTAAGTGGGGGGTGGAGTCCAACTGGGTCCACTCGGCATGGCGGCCACTGATTATGATGATGGAGAATTTCGGTGGAATGAAGATTGGCAGGGGAAACCGAAGTACTCGGAGAAAACCGGCCCAGTGCTACTTTGTCCACGACAAATCCCACTTGACCAGACCCGGGATCAAACCGGGCCGCCACGGTGGGAATCCAGTGACTAACCACTTGAGCTATGGAGCGGCCTTCTTTAAAATGTTGCTAAAAGCAGGGAACTACGAGAGACTGCACGATCAGACGACAACTTCAGGTGGAGACTCCTCTAATTGGACAAGAGTCATGGATATGTGCAGTGTTTCTTGATGAACTTGCCTAGGATATTTATGCCTGGGACTGTGAGTCTCACTAGGAGTTTGAGTGCAGGCTTTGTTTGTCCAGATTGTGATATAAACTGAAGTGCTGCCTTGTGTGCCTCTCCAGTTATTGAGGTTCAACTTATGTCTTCATTTTACGCACTGAAGATTAACGAGTTAGGTTTTTCTTTTGTATTTCAGATTACTCTTGAAGAAGCACGTACGTACATTTGTCATCACTTTCGCAGATACCCACAAGTTTTCCTTAGGTGGATTATATTATCTGCGGGAACCTTTTAATGTAAAGGTAAAAAGGTAAAGTTGTCCCTGAGCTTAACTAATAAAGCACCATACCAAGACGGCGTATCGGGGAGTGGACATATAGCTCCACATTTTCTTGTCCTTGGCACTGGCTGGAGGTGAGTGGTTAGCTTCACGCCCCTGCCGCTTTACCCCTGGGGAAAGAGCACCGGTACCCATTGGATAGCACTCTGGGTGGGCCCCAGGGCCGGTCTGGACGATATGGAGAAGAGAAAATTCTGACCCCTGGGGAAAGAGCACCGGTACCCATTGGATAGCACTCTGGGTGGGCCCCAGGGTCAGTCTGGATGATATGGAGAACATAAAATTCTGAACCTACAGGGACTCGAACTCCAACCCCTCGTTCGCCCAGCTCGTAAGGAGTCGCTGTACCGACTGAGCTGTCCCGGCTACCTTTTAATGTATGGTACAAATGATAATTCGGGCATACTCAGCCGGAATTCAAGACTTATGTCTTGTTGTTAGGACAGTGAAGCACAAAAGCTTATGATGGGCTCGACATGCAGCTCGAAGGTGGAGGCAATGAATGTACAGGCCCAGAGGACTTTGATGGCGAAACATTTTGGGAAGCAGACATTTGGGAGAAGGGCGTAGGAGAATAAACTCTAAAGGCGCGTCCACATTACATGTGCTCGTGCTCGTGCTCGCCAGGCTTGTACTCGTCGGGAGACTGGTCTGGCTTTTTCTTGTGCTCGTAAATCTTCGTTCACACTACTTCAGTTGCTCGCCAGGCTTCGGCGCG